AATAGTTTTGGGGAGGCTATTTCCTGCTCTTAGAGGATTACCTGTGCTATTGTTCATTTCAATTAGAATAGCTAATTGAGTATCTGTAAACAGTGAAAAGAGACATTCTCTTCATATTAATGAAAACTGAGTCTACTTAAAATAGGGGAGAATTTTTAAGTGTCTCTTGTTATTAACTGGGTGTATAACACTTCCTTCTAGCAGCCACATTCACACAAAAAAGAATGGAAATGACACAGATTACTTTAGTTCAAAAGAGTTCAGAGCACACAAGATTAACTGAGGGAAATAATTTTAAAACTTCAGGTCAAATCTTGAATTGTCTCTTTTGAGCTGGTCTGAGTTGAATTTCCTTTGAAGTCAACAAAACTGCCTCTTGGATCTCATCCATGGGGATGGAGAGCAAAATGAGAAATAGGCCTTATCACATCAGTCTACAAAAGAGTTTGTAAGTGGCAGACCATAGTAATAACATTTGGAGGAGTCAAATATTTACACATTTTTCAAATGTTAAATAAGTGATTATGTTGTGGCTTTTAAAAACAACAAATTAGCCTGGATAAGGACTGGCCAGCAAGTGACCTCGTTGAAGATCTTTCATATTAATTAAATTATTTCATACAAAATGTAACAAATGAACATAAGCTGTCACATGCAGCTAGCAAAATGGACATTCAGCCTATATTTATATTAATTCAACTATCAATATCGACACAATGGCAAAAATACCAAAATCTGTTCCAAAGTAATTAAAAAATAAATTCTAAGCTGGAAGACTTAGGACAACACCAAATACCATCAATGAATAAGATGATTGTGGGAAACTTTAAATCTGAGAATGTGAATATCTGATGAAATAAAAAATAAGAGAAATCTAAATCAATTAACTAATGAGAATGATAATTAGAGCCAAAGTCAAGCAAATCTGTGAGCATAAATACTTAGGAAAGATTCAGAAATCTGTTCTAACATAGCCCACATGATATGCTTATAAAATCACTAGTAACCTGTGATTTTGATCATTGAAAACTGTGCTGAAAACATCCCCCAAATGAAAATGGAAAAAAACAAAAACACACAGGGAAGAACTTTTTCAAGTATGACACAAACAGATGTTATATGATCAGACTGAGAAATTTAGCTATGAAAGATATTTACATTTTTTTCTGCATAGCAATATGTACCAAAAGTGAAGAGGCAAATGATAAAATTAGAAAAATATTTGCAATTCCAATTACAAAAGAGCATAACGTTCTATTCACATATAATTCTACCAAGCAAAAATAAATGACCACAGCACAACAGAAAAATGTGATAAACAATATCTTTCAGAGTTCAGGAAAACGAAACATAGATGATTTGAACATATTAAAGACACATAATTTCATCTAAGAGACAAGAAATAAAATTAAAACTTTACCCAGATACTACTCTTTGCCTAGGAGTATCAAAGACCAAGACCTGTTAGCCATTATACAGGGAGAGAGACATGTTCATATATTGTAGTATGACAGGAAATTTTGTGAACACACACACATGTGCATGTGGAGCCATCTATTTGATCCAGTTAATTGAAGCATTGCTTATAACAGAAAAAGAATGAAAATAATCTACAACCACACAATGAAGTGATATGTAATGGTGTCGAAAGAACAGGAAAATTCTTTATGATCTGATACTGAATGAGTGCTAAGATGCATGACAAAAATGGAGGTGCAGATTATAGAATAAGTATTCTAGGAGTTGCCTAAAAGGTAGGGGGAAGACTATATTATCTGTCTGTATATACACACATCTTTTTCTATCTCCATCTACATACATGTACATACACGCATTTTTTTTCTTAATTAGCACCGCATCTCTCTGGAAGTATGCTCAAAACCTGGAAAGTTATGCACATTAGGACTGTTCCTGAAGAACAGAAAAGGCTGGCTGATGAAGAGCCTTTCCTGATATGCCCCTTCATAAGGACTGAATTTTAACAGTATTCTGAGTCAAAATCATAAAACACAAAAGTTGCTTCCATTTTTATAACATCATCCCCATCTCGGCCTCAGTTAACCTCTAATCACCAGTGAGTGCGTAAAGTCAATCTCATCAGTATGCTTCTTGGTAAACAGACACCAGGCAAAGGTCTATTTACAAAGCTAGTTTAATGAAACTCCATTTAAACTCAGAAGGAAAAGTCCACTGAGTCTCCAGAATGGAGAAACTGGGAGCTCCAAGGCTCAACAACAACACATTCAGAGTTTTGAAATGAAAGGAAGCAGAAATATGGGATTAAAGTTAATGATAGTTTAGGATCTGCTAGCGTTGTATTTTTTAGTAGCAAGAACATTCCTGAGTTCTTGAAATCAGGAAAAATATTCAGTGAATGGCAAAAAAGTCTGTATTATCAGCAAACTTACTCCAAAGAGATTAAGTGTGAGCATTAAACTCAGCACCCCAAGAACTGTGATTTTTTGAGGTTCACTAGTGCCCTTTAAAGAGCAGAGACAGACAGGAGGAAGCACAAGAAGGAATTAGGAATCTCTTCTCCCAGAGTCAATTTTTTTTTTATTAAACCCATTAACCAATGTTTAATAGAGGAGGTACTGTTAACATTCTTTTCATGAAATGGATCTAGGGATTCTATAAATTGAAAAGTGTCACTGGTTAAAAATAGTGCCAGATGTGCAACCAAATGATTAAAATTACGTAATTTTGAAGACAAATTGAAAGTAGTCTGTAAATTTAACTGAGGATAAGAGTGGCTAACTAGAATCTTTCTATACCGAAAACCTATCACTGATCAGTTTGTTTGCACCCTATCTAGACCCCATAGCAAACTTGGTAAAAATAGAAAACTGTAGACCAGAACATGGTAGCGGTCAAGAGACCTTGGTCTAATTTCTTAAAAAATAGCCACCCAGGTGATTTAATGGTAGAGCTAAATCTACTTAGTCTTGGGCTTATTTTGACCTTTAAATATTTTAAAAGGCATTGATGAACATTGAGCTTGAATGGGTCTCCATGCTGATCAGGAAAGCAGGGGGTTTATTTGGAGATGACTTTATCCTCCCATTGACTTAACACCTTTAGATGTGCTATAAGTTTGGTGTGTGCATGTATGTGTATATAGGTGAACTGGCATTTATGATGATGGAGGGATATTCACTGGAACATCAAGTCATTGTGTCATCCTGGCCCACTCCCTAAATTGAAATGTTTTTAACCCTTCCAAAATCTGTGATAAAAATCAAAGACTCTGAAAATTGAAACAGTTCAGTGCTTCTGCTATGTGTTTTGTCAGCTCTATTTGGGCCAGTCTCAGGGGCTGAATTGTCTTATCTAGGAAATGGAACCAGTGATCTCAACTCAGATTTACTTGGGTGTTCTCAAGCATACATAGAGGGAATAACCTGAAATTCTTGGCATATAAATATTGTTAGGTACTAGTGATGTCCATAAGAACTTCCGGATAGGCAATGACGGAATAGTTAATGACCATTCCAATATTCTTTCTGTGTCCCTGTGATTGTCTCAAGTGTCCACATTTGTGAACTTCTTCTGAAGCCCAAGCCATGGAGAGGAAAATTTAAATGTACAGATACTAGCATAATATCATGGTAGCTGTGGTCCCATCTACAGAGACATTTACACTGCTGTGATTAGCGGGGTCATTTCTTATCCTTTCCTTAAGGAGCAAACACATTGATTCCTCCAGTAATGAATGCATTGCAGAAGATTCCACCAGAATGCAATCAGAAAGCATCAAGTGTATTTAATTTAACATTTGGTCAAACAGGCTGCTTACTCAAATCCAAGGCACCTGAGAGTTTAATTTATAGACTTTGAGGGTGAGGGGAAGCAGGAAGATTATGAATAAGACACACTTCAGTGGCAAGTGACTCTTCTTTAAAGAAGTTAAGGTCCCATTTCTTGAATACCGCAAGGGATCAGGGTTTTTTTTTTTTTTTTTTGGTTGTTTGTGTTTTTTGGGTTGTTTCTCCTGAAGGAGAAACAAAGTGAAGAAAGAACACTGTGAGGATAAGCAGAAGCTACTGGAAACACTTTCACTCCCAAAACTGAGGGCGCGTTTTAATTTCAGCCGCCCCAACAGATCTTCCCGTGAAACGCAGCCAAGACCCAGAAAGTGGCAGAGGTGTGGCGTCCTTTGAGCTGCGGCTCAAGTTTAAACTCCGCTTGTCAGAAGCAGCAGTCCAGGCTGGGAACCCGCGGGCGAAGCTCTGGGAGAAGCCAACAGTCAGCCAGATCCTCCAGCTGGAAGGCGGGTTGAGGTTGAAACCGACCCGGGAGTGCCCAAGAGGACGCCTTGGGGGGCGAAGTCAGCCGGGCTCTGCGGGCCCGCGGGGCCGGGGGCCACCCCTCACCCCAGCTCCTGGACAGCTCAGCTATTAACCCCCGGAAAGGCCGGGGGGATTCGCCAGGGGTTGAGCCCGGGGAGGCTGTCAGCGCTCTTTAGGACCTCAGGGAAACCCGAGCGTTTCTGGCTCTAGGACCCAGGAACTCCAGGGCAGCCTGGATTGAGATACCTTGGACCACAGCACCACCTACTTATAGAAGCATCCCGAGCCTCAACCCAGCTCCATCTCCATCGGAAAGTGCGCTAGCCACATCCCTCCGGTCTCTCGGGAGCCTTCTGTCTCTTACAGCCTGGAGAGGGAGAAATCTTAGCTGTGAAGTGACTGTGGAGAGAGCCCGGGAAACCGCACAATTGGATAGGGACCCAGAGAGCGGGCGCGGGCGTGCCCCTCGCTTGAGGATCGCGCTCGCAGGCGGGGACTCAGCATCCCAGAGGCTGCGGACGCGCCCGCTCTGCCGCGCTCCCGCTGGGCGCTGCTGGCCCGAGGACCTCCGCGCACCCCGACCCTTCGCCGGAAGCCGGGAGCTGCCAGGCGCCCCGGGCGGGTTTCGGCAAACTTTTCCCCAGCCCACGTGCTGGAGAGGCGGCTCGTCCCCTCCTCCCGGGATGGAGCGCCGCGCCTAGGCACCCCGAGCCGCGCACGGTAGGCGACCCGCGCCGGGCCTCTGCGCTCAGGTCCCCCACTGCAGGACCCCAAGGGCTAAAGGGCGCCTCTTTAACCCTGCGCGCTCAGTGCCTGGGGAGCGCCTTCCATTCCGTGGAGCTTCTGTCGGCGCAACGCCCTTTCCCCGGGGTCGGAGTCTGTAGCTTGCAGAGGTTGCTAATTCACTGATTGCAATCACCTTCCTCTCCCAGTCGCCGGCAGCTGCGCGCTCAGGGTTAGGCTGCGCCCTACTCGTGCCAGGCAGAGGGTTCCCTTCCCCCCTCCCTCCCCTTCTTAAATTGGGACGCACGGAGGGGCAGCTGCCATTCCGGCGCTTTTTCCACCCTGCACCCACCCGGTTTCTCGCCGTTGTCTCTCAGGTTCAAGTGCGAGAGATGCTGATCGCGCGGCACTGACAAGTGAGGTCCCCGGGCGAGTGGCTCCTCCACTCGGCGTCTGCCCCGGCTGCGCGGTCCGCGCCGCCCGCTCGGATGAGCCCTCCAGTTCCCCGACTTTGAGAGGCGTCTTTCCCAGCCCAACCGCCCAGATGCAGTTTCGCCTCTTCTCCTTTGCGCTCATCATCCTGAACTGCATGGATTACAGCCACTGCCAAGGCAACCGGTGGAAACGCAGTAAGCGAGGTGGGTCCCAATCTACTGGAGGGGCGTGGGGGGTCACGGGTGGGGCGCGCGGGGCGCGCGCGGCACCACTTTTGCCCCGGCGCCCGGGGCTCAGATGGGCTGGACCGTGCCCTGCACCCCAGTTCTTGCGCTCTACGAATCTCACTTTCCGCGCCCCAGAGCCCTGCAGAGCACCGTCTTTTCTGTCGTCAAAAAGCGCGGCCAACCCGAGCGAGGCGCGCAGTGTGGGGAGCGCGCCCCGCGCCTGGCGTCCGATGGGCGCTCGGGGTTAAAGCCTGCGGTCTCTGCAGTCATTAGCTGCCTCATTTTCACTCCTGAACTGTTTTTTTCTGTTTTGCCGTCGCTTTTCTTATCTGGCATCCATTTTTCTTGTTCTCCTGTCTCTTTGTTTTTTTTATAGTTCTTAATCCTCTCTCCTGCAGCTCATCTGTCTCCCCACCCGCGTGCGCCCCGAATTCTTAGTACATGGCCTAGCAGAGAGAGAGAGAGAGAGAGAGAGAGAGAGAGAGAGAGAGAGAGAGAGAATATGAAAGAGAATGGGAGAGGTTGGGGGGTTAGGGGTGAGAGAGGGGTGGGGGTATGAGAGACAGGACGAGATGGGAAGGGGTGCCAAGGAAGGGTGGAAGACCTGCCTTTCCAGGAAAAGGACAACGTTGATGTCTTTCAGAAACTCAAGACTAGGTAGGTATGATTTACCTAACTTTCTGAATCAAGCAGCAATTTGTGGACAGGTTTTCTGGGGGCGTCCTTCCTTTCATAATGATGTTTTGGGGACAGCTTGACTTGACCCTCTCCATTTCCTTCCCTCCGAAGCAGCTATTTGTGAGAGATTTCTGCTCTCAATGAAATTCACTTGTGGCTTTTTAACCACTCCCTCCTTCTCCATCATTTGTGTGCGCTGTGGGGAAGGGGAGTGGAAGCCTCCAGAAAGGTTTCAGCGAGCTGGCTTTCCTGCAGATTTAGGGCGTGAATTTCTGTCCCTGAGTTCTGCTGTGGCTGCAGCTAATCCAAATGCATTTAAGGGGAAGGGCTGCTAAGCAAAATTAAGTCTTCTGGGAGGTTTAAACACGAATGTGAGCTCCCTCTCTCCTCCCTCTCTCTCCCTCCCACCCCCCCCCCCCCCCCTTCTGCCCCTTCTCCCGCTCTCCCTACCTCCCTACCCCTTGTATTACCAGGCCTGGAAGGTGCACAGCAGCAACTTAGAGCTCTTTCTTTTCCCCCAGCAAATTGGGATTTTTTTTTTTTTTTTTTTGTCATTAGAATTTGTCTTGAGGTTAAAAGATCTTGATTTTTCTGGGATGTAAACTTCTCAGTCAATCTGTAATATGGTTTGTTCATAACTCGGTTTTTATGAATCTCTGGTCCTACATCCAGATTTTGGAGAGAGATGGTTATGCCCTAATTTCCATAGGGCTTTTAGGTCATCATTAAGCTATTCTCAACCACTCATAGGACTGGAACTGGTGTCCTGAGCTCAGAGCTGAGGTAACTGGTGGTGTGAGACTTCTATAGCTTCTGCTCTCCAATGGACCCACCAGTTTATAAGAAGGATACTCCTTTGTCTCTCATTTTTGAAATTTGGAAATGCTTAATTTCAAAAATTATTCTGCATAAAAATACCCCCAGAGGGTATGAATGTTAGACATTAGCATCAATCTTGGAAAAGCCTCTGCCATCTCTCTCTCTTCCTCCTTTTTACTGGCTCCTTTCCTCCACCCCAGTGTTCTCTTTCCAGGTATTATTTGGTAAAACTGGCCGTTTTTCATGACACCCTGGTCAAAGTGTTGGGAGAGACTTCTCCCCTTTACAAGCAGAGGTTGCGCTCTCCTTGGTTGGAAAAACAAAACTGCTTAAAATTTGCTAAGTATAGACTTACTGCAATCCTCTGCCAAGTTCTTGTTTGTTTATCAGATGGCTTACTAATGCAAGTGATGTCTTTCTAATCCATACTGCCTGCCCCATTGTGGTTGATTGGGGGCAGAATCAAGCATATTCCTTCAGTAGAATGTCAGTGGAGGTGCCATTTGGTGGAGAATGACATCACACGCCCCCACAGCCAGAGGTGATACTGACGCCTTTCTCTGCGGTGCCATCTCTAAATTTGTGCCTGTCTTCTTAGGTACCTGAGTTAAAACCTACTTGTTTCAAAACCTCTCTAGGGACATCTCTTACAGCAGTTATCCCAGACCTCCTCAAGTCTTAGCATTTAGAAGCTCAATTCAAATGTGTAAGATAGTAACTTTTGCCAAAGCAACCCTACCATTGAATAAAATTCAAATGCTTTTAAGTACATGTAAATTGATAAGGTCGTAAAAAAAATTTTATCAAAGTGTATTATGTATGTTTTTCTTTCTTAACAGATGTCCCTTCCCAAATCCCAAGTTTCTGGCCAGCGTAACTGCAGTCCTTAAAAGTGACCACACTATCTGTACCAACAAAGGGTGTACTGTGTTTTTAATTAAAAGTGGAACTGCTTAAAGGGCTGGCTAGACAGTGTAGGGTGATAGTAGCTTTCTGCTTTGCAAGGAAGCTTAAGGATTGCATTGTGAGTGTATTGAAATGAATAGAGATCTAACTCAGGTTGTGTGAATTGTCCCTCTTCACAAATTTAAGCTGGTTTTAATTGATCTCATGTCCACTGATTGATCCTACACCAATTGTTGCACATACCAAACAATTGGCTTTCCCAACGGAGATTGATTTAAATTAGTTCCTTGGTGAATGCCTGACTGCTAGCCAAATCATGTCAGCAGAAACAGTTGACAAGACAGAGCCTATTGTGGTACCAACATTTCCCCTTTTCACTTTCTTTTGCATAGTGGCAGTTAATCACTTTTCTTCCTAGAAAGTAATATTTAGTTCCTTAAAAAAAAGTGTTGTGGCTAAGATCAGTTATTTCCTTCACTTTGTGCTATGATGTAGGCAGCAGTGACACCAGGATTGGTTAGGCTAATGCCTGGGATCTGATTCTTTTTCTTTTTTTCATATTCCATCTGCAAATAATCAAACCTTCACCGTGGAGTGTTCTCAGAACTCCTTTGGCATTATGTTTAGTCTGTTCTATGATCTCAGATGCTCTATAATATCATTTTCTTAATGAAATAAAATTCTTGGCAGAGATCAGATAATTTAGTCAGTTAAAATCAATTGCATCCCAGTCTGGAATAGAGAGCAAATATATCATTTAACTCTATGTTTTATTTCAAAATATAGGCAGAGGATCGAGAGACTACAATGTCAACCTTCCCTCCTCTGGATAATATTGTGTGTGGGAGACTATCACAAACAACAGCACTAGTCACCTACTACTCTTTCTTCACCTTTATTTGGGAAAAAAGCATACAAATGAATCTGACCGTTACAAATAGGACCTGGCAACAATATATTTTTTAAATTAATTAGTTAGGCACAAGCAATGCTGAGAATTGATATCTTATGGTAGACATATGCCAACATTTTGAAAAGCTGATTGACAACTCATGTTTTGTCTACATGCTAAGAGCCAGTCATAATTCATTGGCCCACCCTGTCCCCTTTCAAAAGCATAGTCATTATTAGCTACTGTTAACCCCTGTGGCCTGTATCTGGCTTGGGACTTTTTTAATTTATTTGTATGGTGAACTGGGGTATTTGAATTTTTTCTGGGGGGGGGAGATGACTATAAACCACATTTCAAATGGAATTACTTACTGAAAGGTGGTTAAACAAATCATAACTTTATTATGGTCTTCCAGGATTTTTTGAAAATGCTATGTAGTGACTTAATTTTATATCTCCTTCATTCTGCTTAAATGACTTTTCACATTTTACACAGGGATTTATGAAAGCTGCTTGATAACACTCTTTCAAAGCAGCCAGCTCCCTAATATATAATTGGTGTTTCTGGTGGTCTGTTGGTAGGGGGCGTGGATGAGTGTTTCCTGCTCTAGCCTCTTCCAGACTGAAGCCCCAGCTTCTCCTTACTCCATAACATCTTATTTCATAAGATTAGATTTGGCTTCTTCCATGAAACTGAAGTGTTTATCGAAAATAGTGTGGTGTGCTTCTGGCAAGTGAGGTTGGTACAAAACAAACATTTTCTCTTAAATCTTAAATCTTAAACTAATTTGTTTATATTTTTTCAAATTTAATGAACAGATTTGGAGATACTTGGCTTTATAGATACTTTTAATGATAGCTCATTTCTCAGGGTATTTTTTTTTAAATACAAAGTGGCACATGGAACATTTTTAACTACAAGTAAATGAAAAAACTTCAAACTACATTTTGCATGCTTTTATGTTCCAGAGTGTTTCAGGAAAAAAAAAAAAAGCTTATGATTAACTTTGCAACATAAACATGTTCCTTCTTTTGTGCGCTTTTGTTAATGGGCTGCTTTTTCTACCAGCATTTGAATTTTTCTAGCTAGTATCTTACCAGTATGCAGGGGTTAGAAAGTTGCATTCCCCAACCCACATCTTATTATGCTACTGAAATTTGGAAGTGATTCAAAATAGGTGATGTTCCCCCAGGCCTCCATTTAATTCTGTTTTTTTTTTTTTTTATCTGCTTATAAATCCAGCTTGGGTAGAATCCAATATTTGCAGAAATCACAAGTTGGAAATGACATTTCTAATTCCTTAATGCAAAACCACCTCTTGATTTATTCAGAGACTAACTGCCCAGTTTATGGATTTTTCAGGCCACTTTTTACTTCTTCCCTTGCAATGACTATGTTTTAAAACACCTCCCCTCCCTGCGCTCTCCTCCCCTCATTGGCCCTGTTAACCCTTCCAAGTTCAGAAAATAGATGAGGGACAAATCAGTTAATACAATTGATAACTCCTCTGCTAAAATGAGGTGGTATACTCTGGAATGAAAATAAAAATTTAAATTTCCCATTTCTTCCAAAGTCATGATGGTTAATATTTTTTTCCCAATCAAGAACTGAACATTAGTAAATAGTGTTGCAAGTCCATGTTGGTAAATTTTCATGTTTAGCTGGGATGAATAAGAAAGGT